TAAATCTTAATTGGGAGGCCTTGTTGCCAGCAGGCAACCAAACTGAGAAGCCATCTATTTCAGGTTTCTTGGTAAGGTGAAAGCTTTGTGGGGTTGGGATAGCCTTGGAAACAGAAGGGTAGACAAGGAAGCGTAGCTCTGAAAGGAACTTCCTTGTAGAAAGATCGGAGCCCAGTAGGCCTTCTGCTCTAATTTTTAGTCTGAGCTATGTGAAAAAACATAGGAACAATCTCTTGGTGTTCTTTATGGAGGACATAGAAGGCAGGAGGAGAAAAGGGGCAACTGTAATGGCAGAGGGCTCCAGATTTGCCTCCATTTTCCTCTTCTCTAGGAGATCTTTGGCCACATGAGAAAAAGGAGCCATATTCTTGCCTGCAGGTGGTTTTAAAAAAAATCAGTGAAGACAACCAAGGATGATTGTGAGGCTGGGAGAAAGCTGCTTCTTAGCAAGGGAGGACAAGAGGTACACAAGATGGGAGCACTGTGCAAACTAGCCTTATGACAGACAGATGGAGAGGGATGGAGAAATGGAGACACAGCTTATCTCTCTTGCTTCCTTTCTTTGGTGTGTACTCCATAGGGATTCTAGTAGCTGGTTGGAGCACAGGAAAAACACTCAGCCAGCAGGACCAACCTGCAGGGAGAGAGGAAACAACTGAGAAGCAGAGCCTGTCAAGAAGAGGAAGATTGTGTGCCAACATCTTTTCATACCCAGATCATCTCTTTGCCTGAATAATAGCAGAAAGAGGGACAAGATGGGTGAGGTAATATATTTTATTAGTTAGAGAGAGACAGATACAAAAACACTGCATATAGCAGAAAGAGGAGCACACAGTTTCTGCACATCCCAGAACTTTGAATGATCAAATGTTGTCATAGAAATTAGTTCCCACTAAAGAAAAGGTTTGTTGGGATATATTGGGAATCTAGAAATTACAGTCATGTATGATTCAAAAATTTATTCAGAAATTATTTAAGCATATTGGTCATAAGTCTCAGAATCAGAACATATGTTAATCAACAAAAAAGTATGAAAAGTGAGCTTTTTCAGTCCACATCTTTATTAGCAGTACTAATGTATGAAAACTCCTTTGAAGAAAATAAGTGTCCTTGAGATGTTAGATTCTATACAGACAAAATGAATATCTGCATCTATAGCTCTCCCTAAAAGTAACTATTAAATCATTAAAATAAATTTAGAAAAATAGCCTGTAAAAAAAGTTAAAAAATACTCACCTTCATTTTATTTCATAGGTCACTGTTATACCATCTAATAAGATAATTAAAAACATGCAAGCAGCTGGTACTGCGGCTAAACAGATTAATGTAATAGTCTGTAGTCACATGTGCTGGCAAGGGGTTCACCTCTTTGGCGAGGAGGGGGTCAGCTGCCCTTGGGAAGGAGAGAAAGACAATATTTCTACTTTCCAGTGGCACTGTAGTACAGATAGTGAGGTTAGAGTCCAGCTTAAATTGTTGGCCAAGTGAACAATTTGCACACCTAGCAAAGGCTTCCATTGTGGTGGTATAACACCACAACAGTGTTAAGATCAAACACACATTTAATGGAAATAACAAGTTCTTCCAAAATAATCAAATTCAGTTTTTATTAATGATAAGAGCACTCAAATACTAAAAAACCCACAAACAATCCACATGGTTTAAATGTTACCATTAGTGAACTTCAAGCTTTCAATGATATTTTACAAAGATAGGCTATTTAAACACATCTTACTCTACTAATGCTTCTTTTCAAGCACACACAGAATAATCTGAATCAGAAGCTGAAGATCAACTAACAAATTCTCTACCACCTAACCAGGATGTATCCATAAACTTCCCAGAATATTTAGAAATGTCCCAGTCACACATACTTCCCGTTTCCACTGCTTAATTAGCTAGGAGAAAACACCCACTTATCTAAATGTAAGGAGAATTAACTACATCCGCTATAACAAATGCAAACAAGATCCACACACCCTAAAAAAATACAGACTATGTATAAAATATTTTAAGTAACAAATATTAAGGCAGCACCATCAGTATAGCTGTAGTTAAAAATCAGACATACGAACCTTTAATTGATGATGAATATTAACTCCATGCTAAAACTTTTAAACCTTTTATTTTCAAATTTTGTTTAAAACAACATGTTCTTGGGATTAATTATACAACAGGGAAAAATGTTAGTAGTGCACTTTCAAACATTCTAAAGCACCTGTAACTACCTATCTGTTTTTCCTAAATCAAACTCAAATGCAACTGCTGTTGATACTTAAAAGAAACATATTTTTTAAATGTACAAGGAAATTTGTTTCTTCCAAGGAAAACTTTCAGTTGCACTTAGTGCACATCAGCTAACTGCACATATGACACTTGCATTGACCCAAAAGACTACTGCCTGTTAGAGACTTTGTTAATGAGTTACTGACCTAAGTATGGTGCACTGTAATAGAACGGTCAGGAGCTGCTATAGTCTATCAAATTAGTAATTTACTCAAGTAAATATTTTACTCAAAATAATATTCATTTAAAAATGTTCTCTGATGGAATTACATACTTGAAGGACACTTGGACAGCACGGAAACAGATTAGTAAACAAATAACATGTATGTACAGGTAAAATCTTTACCACCATTATGTTTCAATGTAGTTTAAAGAGACATGGGTGAAGTGATATCTTTTATTAGACCAAATTCTGTTGGTGAGAGACAGCAGCTTTCAAGCTCTGTGTAAGCTCGAGAGCTTTTCTCTCTCACCAACAGAAGTTGGTACAATAAAAGATATTACTTCACCCATCTTGTCTCTCTAATATCCTGGGACCAACACCACTACAACAACACTGCACAAAATCAATGTAGTTTAACATTCATGTTTTCTTGCTCATCAAGTTTTTGTCTGTTCACCTTAACATAGTCACAGCTCTGTGCTGCATGTTATCAATGCTACATTCAAACCTATAAGCAAATTTACAGTCAGTCTTGTTATATGGTAGGAGTTACTTGCCACTGAGCAGAAAACATTCATTTCACAACTTAAATACTGTAATGCTACTTAATAACAATGCTGATTTGCCAACTATTCAAAGCCAAATTTTTTTTTTTAATATACTGTATTACCTTGCTTTATCATCTTGCCTCTAATTATAATAAATTAATACTCTGACACTGCAATAAATATTTGTTAACTTCAGTGGTAGTTTTATAAAGTTGTGTTGGAAACATCTCTTTCAGAATGCACTTACCATTCAGTAGCGGTGTGACCAAAATACTATTATATTTACTCCTAGGGCTGCGGGAGAACGAAGTACAACTTTGTGCTCCCCGATTCCCCAACATAACTTAGAGCAATGCCAGGGCTGCTCTGTTACATTGGCTTGTAACAGCCCCAAGGACCTGATAGGACAGCCAGGTACTGACAAGATGCAGTGTGTGTTATAGGTATGCCCCTCCCTCCCTTGGTTCACCCTCTACACCCCTAGGCTGGAAGACAGTGACACAGCGCAGCCTTTACCCAAGCAAAGAATTCTTAACACAGGAGGAATCCCTTGCTGTCCCTTTAGCGCAGCTTTATGGCATCCTCATGGCTCAAGCAGTGCAAAGGGGCCTTAGTGTGGGCCAGAATCTTGCCTGTAGGACTTGACTCAGATTGCAATTCCTTTGTGCAGAAAGCTTTACTTTATGGGCCCCATCCTGCAAAGTGCAGGGTACTCTCAACTCCCAAATGAAACAGACTCTCCTTTCATGTTATAATCTGGCAGTTGAGATCAGCTGAGGTGCTTGAGATAACAGCTTCCACACTTAAATGTCCTGAAGATAATGGCAGCATGTTCTCAGTCAAGAGCCCTCAACTTCTGAGTTCACTCTCCTTGGTGATCCTTCAGGATGACCTTCAGGGATTGCTGCAAGGTCTATCCATTTACATAGGTTTTTGTTTTTGTTTTGCCTGAGAGGTTTAAAGACCTTTTTTGGGTGGAGATTTTGAACCCTTTAGTTAACATTGGCTAAGTTTGTTAATAATTATTTCTGTTATTCATTTTGATATTTTGTATTTGTTCAGAGAATCTCATTAGCACATTGTATAAATAAATCTGAAAGACTCTGATGATTAGCATGGCTTTACTTACTGCACATTTAAGAATCAGATTTCGTTATGCAGACATATAATTTAAACTGTACTTGTACCAAAACTATGGATTTTCCCAATCATGGATGGTTCTCAAATGTTAATTTAATAGTGGAACTGGCTCTTTGTTTATATAAAGTCTGAAACGACACTTCTACCACTTTTATCCATTATCTAAGTTATCAACTAACACAGGAAGCAGCACTTGAATTTTTCTTCCTATTAGCTTTCTCTGTTTTAAAGTACAAACATCCTCAAACATTTATTCAAGCAAGATTCAAAGTTCTGATGACAACGCTAACAAAAAAGTTTACTTAGTATTCTATTTTCCTTAAATGGTATTTCTAGTATTTATTACTAATTGAGATGCAATACTGTCATGATTGCAGATGATAAATCAAAAATAGATATTACCAAACAACGTTTAATTCTCTTGTGAATTACAATTTAAGTGCTATTAGGCTCCCATGTGATCAGTAGATTCAGTGACTTTGCAGATCACAAAGATGATCCTGGTGAATTAAATATTGTATTAGCACGTAATTGAGCTTAAGTGACACACTTAGAGGTGAAAGACTTTGGTACCATCACTTGAAAAACACACTTCATGGACATGTGAGCCTTTTGTTGTTGAAATGTTTAACTAGTTTGCTCCCTCTAACAAGATATGCTCCACAAATCAATCTGTTTTTTCACAGCATTCACTAATTCATCAGAAAAGAGATATCAAATCAATCTATTGAAAAAGCATGCTTCAGTTTAAGTGGTATAATATTCTCAAATAATCTCAGACTGCTCTTTGGCTTTAAGTAGGTGATGAGATTCCCATTCTAGTCAAACAAAAATATTTTTAAAAATAGCAAACAAGTGCCTACCTGTAAGAAATAAATGTTCCATCAGAGTCTAAGGCATGATGTGTTCTTCCATTCTCATGGGATCCTCCTAACAAACAAAAATGAAAGAAGCAGACCTTAGTCTTGAGACAAGGATATACATTGCTGCATTCAATATCAGTGTAAGGGCATATGTAAGTGATCTTAATCTATTTGGCAAACGTGTTTCATGGCTAAGAAACAGACAACTTTACCTGGATAGGTCTCATCCTTCCACCTTAAAGAATGTTATTGACTGTAACTAGAGAGGACCTCAAGTCTCAAACTTCAGTTCTGGATATGAATTTTCCCTAACCTCAAAGGTGTTTGTATCTGGGGTTTTGAGTTTAACAACTAGAGACAAGCCTAAGTGAATAAGATGTTTTTAAAAGATAATGCCTAATAAAAATGGATGAAAAAGAAATATGTTTTCCCTATCTGAAACATTTGTAACTAAGTGAATAGTAAAATGAAGTCTTCTTTCCACAGAAGGAGGCCAGGGCGGTTAAAGTTTCCCTCCCATTGCCTCAGTAACATGCCTCCAAGCAAGACAGACTACTTACAAAAGGGAGAGGGTGGTCCACCATCAATACCCCTGAATCTTTGATCTTTTCCCATCAAGACTGAGTTATGATGCTTAGTCAAATAAAACACTTGTGCAAGAGGTATGGCCATATGGCCCAGTAAATAGAATTTCGCACTGGGACTCAGGAGCCTTGGAGTCTACTCCTGGCTCTGCCACCTAGCTGCTGTGTGACCTTGGGCAAGTTACTTCACTTCCCTCTGCTTCCATTTTTTCATCTGTAATGGAGGCATAATGATACCAACTGGCTTTGTAAAGCACTCTGAGATCTCGGAATGAAAAGCCAAGAGCTAGGCACTACTATTACTAACTCATTTCATATAAGCCAATGACAAGTCAAATGAAAACTATTTTTCAGTAACTCATGCCCTAGGATAAAATAAAACTTATAACCAAGGCATCAAAGATAGTCTTTCTGAGCAATCCAGTCCCTCATCCCTCGACATGCTGGCATTTTATTTAAGAGTCAAAATGTGATACTGTACAAGGCTAGTTGCTGAAAAGGAATGGGATCTGATCCTAAACAGCTTCTACTACCAGTTCAGAATTCTGGAATAAAGAGTTGCTGTCCCTTTGATACTTTCCTACCTATTGAAGAAATACCTGTGAACTCTTTAGTTCTCACATCTTTGGAAAGTATATTTAACACAAAAGAAAAGAAACTGCTCTACGCATATATTATAAAGTCATAACTATTTTTTCTTAAACCTTGCACTAAGTAGGGAAGGGTTTTGAGGCTGTCAGTTTCAGAATCAGAGATAAAAGTGATTTCACTTAGGAAATCAGATCGTGCATTCCCCAGTTGCAAAAGCTGCTTACCCTTGCCAGAATGAAGACACATCTTCCTGCTGACAAGTTTGCACTCTGCTTAAAATTTTATTTTTAATTGAAGATGAATTTTTGTTAATAAACATCTTTATTTTCAGCTGTAAAACAATTCTAAGTTTAGTTTATATAAAACACTTGTTTATTACTATTAACAATGCAGTGTTTTATGCTTAGAGACAAGGAGAACGTAACAGACAAGTATTTGCTTACATTATAAGCCTGTAAATTCCTATAGCATGACTTTCAAATACCACGTTACATTCGGTTTTAGCATATTTAAAGCTTAATAATTTAATGATTTATACAATTTTAATTTGTACTTTCAAACCACTCTGAACAATCTGAGGTGCCACTGGAGATCATAACAGTGGTCCTGGTTAAGTCAAATAATAATTATAGAGCTTTCACTTTAAAGATGAGATTATTTTTAATTATTGAGTGAAGTACTTGAGGTACCATACTTATATAATTACACTACTCATTAAAAGGTTATTGAAAGCTGAAATGTAATTTTAGTGACAGCTACCTATTTTTCTTTGTACATTTTATAGATGACAGATAAGTCAAGAATACTAGTTTACTCAAAATTCCTTGCAGCTGTACTTGAGCTTTCAGATATAGAAAATTTAAGCTGTGCTTATTTTGAAACTTTAAAAAAAATCTTATCTTAAAGATTATTTTGCTATATATAGAGAACAAAATTCTGTTCACAGAGATGAGAAGAAGAAAATAGTGATAAACAGATATTTTTCTTCTGTTTAATGTCAGTAAATTCTGGTTCTACAAGGTACTTTCTTTTCAAGCCCTATCCCTGAAAAAACAGAACACATCTGCAAGGCAGTGTCAGCTATTTTATTAGAAGACTGTTTTGTTTAACAAAATGAACACCCAGCGACAACACAAATATGGAAGACTGATTTTAGTCAAAATGTGTTTGCTGTGTAATGCAAACAAAAAAATTACTTAACAGATTGCAGATCTTGAGTATAAACGGGTAATCAACATACAATAAGCATTATACTATGCATTAAAACTATATATAATGCCACAAAAGACTCCGTTGCTTCTTTGCAACACTAAGGTTCACAACTCTTCAAACATCAAACCCCATCAGATTATTTTACTCCATTGGTATATATTCAATATCAAACTGATTCACGTCAAATTATTCTAATAATTAAGGGACGCTGACACTTGACAGCATAGAGTTTTTGGCCTCATAAAATATTAAGCCATTGACTCATCCTCAGTATTTTCATCCCTTCCACATGATGCTTCAAATTCAACTTATTCCTCCATTTTTCCAAAGGCCATTATCTTGTACAAATTAATCTTTTCTTTCTCACAATGAAAACTAAACAGAAGAGTAAATTTGTTTCATTAACAATATTAAAGCTAAGATTTCTGAGTTCGCTGCATAGGGAAAAAGCAATAAAGTTTTGAAGAGGGAAAAAACTGCTTTGTTCCTTCAATCCCCTAGTTGAAATTAATTATAGCAAATGTTTATGAAAACATCTGTTCCATGCAGTTATAAATTCTTAATTTTAGCATGGGCGATTCTAGGCTTCCTATTATTTTGAAAGAACAGTCTGAAAATTGAAAGGTTTACAAAAGAACAGGCGATTTGATTTTCTACAGCACGATATATGTAGTTTGCGATGTCCTGAGGATCTCTGCGGCAAAGAAAAACAACACAAAATACAAAAAGACTAGCTAAAACAGACACAAATCAGAAAAATCTTCAACTGGTCTAACTTGACTGAAGGTGAAAAAATAAAAGTAAAACCAGACAGATGAACACCACAAATTAAGCCTGCACTACATAACCTAAGTCTATACAAAGTAAAATGTAATAGGTATATTGATTTCTATCTTATGCATTTAATAAAGGAGTAAGAACAGAGTACACTTGACATTACCTATTCGTGTCAACAGAGGGTGCTAGAGAGTTTAAGATGATTCAGTAGCTGCTCCACTTCTGAAGCTCAATTGTTTGTATAAGATCCTAGGCTCCGATGCTCTCTTGGACTTTTTACATAACATCCTTGCAACTACAGTGTTAAACTCAATTTACACCAAATAAGCTTTTAAAATGATTAAATGGAGCAAGCTTGAAGCAGTGTACAGAAACTGAAAATAATGCCTTCAGCTAAAGAATTAAGTGCACTGCACTTCTGATATTTATAAAATAATTATTAGGCTAGAAAGTTGAAGAACATTTCACTCTGAGAAAGTTGTTGAAGTTGTCTGAAATAAAAATGATGCAACTTTTTGGTGAGCACGTTAGAGCAATCTTTTAAATTCAAACCTTTCCCCCCCTTGTTTCTGAAGTAATTTAGGATCATTGACAGATGCATATGCATGCATTGCTTTGTAAAGATCTTTTGGTAGCATTTTAAATATTAATACTGTGTCAAAACAATCTTTGCCATAAATGAAAAAGATAATATTCTGGTAATGAGTGAACAGTTAAAAATTGTGCACCATGCTCACCAATGGTCAAGAACTCTTGCACTTGATGAAGAGTGTAATTTGTTAATCTTGCAAATTAACAAAGATGAGAGAAATTACCCTGAACATTGATATTGCTTTTGCACATTCCTAGAGAGATATATTTTCCATATATATATTTGAGTTTTCAGCAAAGCGGACATTGGAGCAAGATATTCTACAGTACCCACGCATAGACTAGTTTTGCAACAGTGGAGGATGGTGACATCTGAAAGTGGGTAGGCAAAACTGACACATAAAGGTGCAGAATGAGAGCCTGTTTATAGCAGCAGGGAAAGATAGCATATCTGGTGAACAATATGGTAGGAAAATCTATCCTGAGAAGCTTCCACTGTTTTGCAGTTACTTATAAAAGAAAACATGTTGTACAGGCAAGAATAACCAGGATTGCAAAAAAACCAAGTACATATAATCCTGATCTGTCTTTTGGATTTCTACTTTGCTAGACTAAACTGGCATTTTACAATGATGTATACATACAAAAGCATGGCAAAATGTAGGTGCATAATAGATTACTATGTTTTCTTTAAGCAAAAAAAAAAAAAATCTGTTTTAAATAGTTTAACCAAGAATTACATGCACAACTTTTCATATGCAAAATACGAAGATTTGAATGCCCAAAGTGCATTTGTGAAGGCAAAAACATGGCTAGGAAATGTACACAAAATAAAATAGGGGTGCATGAAATTGGGATAAAATTTAAGTGGAATCTTCTGAAAATTTGACCCTTTGTCTCTCCACGTTCATAATTATTCTACTCAAAGAATTTCAGTAGCACCACATTATAAAAAAGTTTTATCCTATTTTTGACTTTGTAACATCTTCCATGCTACCTCTTCTGCCTGAAACAGCCCCCACTTTCAGGGTGCTTTGCAATCAGACTGTGCTGTGGTAGGAGGAGAAGAGGACAAGGAAAGGAGAAACAGTCAGAAGGAAGGAGTAGCAGATAAAAACAGATCAACCAACGAGGGTAGGGGGGAAGAAGCTGTTTTCAATTATCCCCTCTCTTGTAGTTTCCACAACACTTTGTGGCTCTCTGACCTCTTTAAAACTCACTTTCAATTTTAAAAAAGTTTGGAGTTTTATTTTTGTAAATAGAAAAAGGATTTAAAGTAACAACTACAGATCCACAAACTCCTGGGGGCAAC